ACCAGTGTGTGTCTGGGGCCACCGCCACCCCCCCCCACCAGACCAATGTGTGTCCCCCAATATATCTATGCTGCGTGTCCCAAGAGCTCACAATCAGGGCAGAACTTCAGCTTTGTACTCACGAGCAGCTGGATGTGACTCACCGAGCGAAAGGAAGGCACCACTCCCCCCCCCCCCCCAGACAAAGGCACCACTCCCCCCGAGACGAAGGCACCACTCCCTGTCTCCCCGTCACATAAATAGGATTTGGAAGAGATCAAATGTGTTTAGAGATTGTAGAACATGCTGAGTGATGGGGGGGGGGGGGGGGGGGGCTGGAGCGCTCCACCACCCAGAAAAGCTCAGAATGTTCATTACTGTGCAACACCCCCCAAGACCTACCGCATCCCCCCCCCCCCCCCATACGCTAACCCATCCTCCTTCCCCCAATGCCGCCCCATCCTCCTACCCCTCAACACCCCCAAGACCACTGCATACTTTTTCCCCCAACACTACCCCATACTCCTAACCCCCCCCCCCCCAAAACCCCCAAGGCTACCACATACCCCTTCCCCTATCCCCCCCAACACTACCCCATACTCCTAACCCCCCCCCCCCAAAACCCCCAAGGCTACCACATACCCCTTCCCCCCATCCCCCCCAACACTACCCCATACTCCAACCCCCCCCCCCTCCAACCCCCCCCCCCCAAAACCCCCAAGACTACCACATACCCCTTCCCCCCATCACCCCCCAAGACTACCGCATACTCCTAACCCCCCCCCCCCCCAAAACCCCCAAGGCTACCCATACCCCCCATTCCCCCCCCCCCCCCCAACACTACCCCATACTCCTAACCCCCCCCCCCATCCCCCCCAAGACTACCGCATACCCCTTCCCCCCATCACCCCCAAGACTACCGCATACCCCTTCCCCCCATCACCCCCAACACTACCGCATACCCCTTACCCCCATACCCCCAACCCCCCCCCTTCCCCCACCCCCAAGACTACCGCATACCCCTTCCCCCCCATCACCCCCAAGACTACCGCATACCCCTTCCCCCCCATCACCCCCCAAGACTACCGCATACCCCTTCCCCCCATCCCCCCCAAGACTACCGCATACCCCTTCCCCCCCCCCCATCACCCCCCAAGACTACCGCATACCCCTTCCCCCCCCATCACCCCCAAGACTACCGCATACCCCTTCCCCCATCACCCCCAAGACCCACCGCATACCCCTTCCCCCCCCCATCACCCCCCAAGACTACCGCATACCCCTTCCCCCCCATCACCCCCAAGACTACCGCATACCCCTTCCCCCCCCCATCACCCCCAAGACTACCGCATACCCCTTCCCCCCCCCCCCATCACCCCCCAAGACTACCGCATACCCCTTCCCCCCCCCCACCCCCCCCCCCCCCAAGACTACCGCATACCCCTTCCCCCATCACCCCCCAAGACTACCGCATACCCCTTCTACCGCATACCCCTTCCCCATCACCCCCCAAGACTATGCATACTCCCCCCGGCCAGGATTGCTGCTCCGTCTTCTGTGACTAGATAATGCAGGCCATCACCCCCAAGATACCGCATAAAGCCCCAAGACATTTTTTTCCCCATAAAAAAACTAAAAATCAAAGACTATAGTCAATTCCCCCATCACAGCCCCCAAGACTACGTTTCCCCCCACACCCCCATTGACTAGAATAATCACCCCCAAGACTACCGATACCCCTTTCCCCCATCCCCCCAAGTCTTCGGCCGGCATACCCCTATAATAGTGGACCGCATCCCTGCAGAGATCCGTCACCCGCTACCGCATACCCCTTCGACATCACCCCCAAACTACCGCAGCAAAGTTGTAACAATGTATCTACCCCTTCCCCCATCCCTACTACCGCATACCCCTTCCCCCATCACCCCCAAGACTACCGCATTCCCCCATCACCCCCAAGACTCGTGTACCCCTCCCCCCTCGTGTATCCCATACCCTTCCCCCCATCACCCCCAAGACTACCGCATACCCCTTCCCCCGTGTATCCCCCCTACGCATACCCCTCCCCCCATCACCCCCAAGACTACCGCATACCCCTCCCCCCCACACCCCAAGACTACCGCATACCCCTCCCCCCTCACCCCCAAGACTACCCATACCCCTTCCCCCATCACCCCCAAGACTACCTTGTACCCCTCCCCCCATCACCCCCAAGTACCGCATACCCCTTCCCCCCCCCCAAGACTGCATGTATCCCTACCATACCGCATACCCCTCCCCCCATCACCCCCAACACTATCCCCTTCCCCCCACTTGTGTAACACTCCCCTTGTGTATCCCCCTTCCCCCAATCACCCCCAACACTACCGCATCCCCTTCCCCCATCACCCCCAAGACTACCGCATATCCCCTCCCCCATCCCCCCCCGTACCGCATACCCCCCCCATCACCCCCAAGTATACCCCTTCCCCCCATATCACCCCCAAGACCCGCATCCCCTATCCCCACCCCCGTGTACCCATACCCCTCCCCCCATCACCCCCAAGACCCCCCATACCCCTTCCCCATCACCCCCAAGACTACCGTATCCCCCCCCATCCCCCCTATCCCCCCTCAAGACTATGGTATCTGCCCCAGGATTGTGTGCTCCCCCCTGTGACTTAGTAATGTATCCATAGTGTAAGCCGGACATTTTTTGAAAAAAAAAAAAAAAAAAAAATCGTCATCCCCCCTCGTGTTCCCCCCATTCGTGTAAAAAAATTGGCTGATTTCATCCCGTCTTCGGCCGGCAAATATAATAGTGTATCCCCTCAGAGAGATCCCCGCTCGTGATATCCACATGTAAAAGTACAGCGTGTATCCCCTTGTATCCCCTGTATCCCCTCGTGTATCCCCCCTCGTGTATCCCCCCTTGTGTATCTATTTGTGTATCTATTTGTATCCCTCGTATCCCCCCTCGTGTATCCCTCGTGTATCCCCTCGTGTATCTCCTTGTATCCCTACTTGTGTATCTATTTGTGTATCTATTTGTATCCATGTCGGATACAGAGGTTCTATTCGGATACAAATGGATACATTGTTACAACTTTGCTGTACTTTTACATGTCGAATATCATAGCGGACGGATCTCTGCAGGGACTCCACTATTCTATTCGACATGTAAAAGTACAGATGTTCTCTTTTGTCTTCTTCTTCCGTTTCTTCTTTTTCTTCTTCTTCCAGGTCACGGCTCATGCGCATTTTTTTAATCTGTAAAAAGATCGCCCGATTTGCCCATCATTGCCGTGAAAATCGGCTGATCGGCAAATTCGGCCGATTTTTTTTCCAACTTCACCGATTAAAAAAAATGTGTCAGAATCACAAAAAAGCTGCCGACAAATTCACCCACTAATGATCCGAAAATCGGCCGATTACTCTTTCAGACGAATTTTTCGGCGGTTTTCTCCCCGTCTATGGCCTGCATAAGGCGGTGAATGCATCAAAGATTTTCCAACATGCTGGAAAGTGAACATGTGCGCCTCCAATAGGCAGCCTGCACCTCCCGTCCCTGGAGTCCCTAACCGCAGGAAGGACAGACATCGGCTTACATCACACTGGAGAGCCGGGCCTGAAAAGAATTATTCCCAATGAGCAACACGAATCCCGACACACACATGGAGGAAACATGGGACCCCGCGTGTCCGAGCAACCACGGGGGGGGGATGGATCAATCTGAACACGGCAGGAACACTAACAGGACACAGATCAGATCATGTGTGAGCGGAACACGAGAAAGGGTCGGGGGACAGACGCCCCTGGGGGTCCGGGGGGGGGGGGGGGGACAGACACCCTCCTGGGTCAGAACACACTCGGGGATCACATACACAGATCCACACAGTTGGGGGGGCTCAGGACACCATCCGAGGTTGAGGGACACAGACCATATGGGGGTCCGGACACTATAGGGGGTCACATGCACAGGTAGATCCACAGAGTTAGGGGGGGTCTGGACACCATCCAAGGTTGGGACACAAACACCTCTTTGGGGTCACATGCACAGGTAGATCCACACAGTTGGGAAGGGGGGGGGGGTCTGGACACACATGCCCCTCTTTGAGGGTCAGGCCACTTTCGGGGGTCACATACACAGGTAGATCCACACAGTTGAGGGGGCTCAGGACACCATCCAAGGTTGAGGGACAGAGACCATCTGGGGGTCAGAGACACTTTAGGGGGGGGGTCACATGCACAGGTAGATCCACATAGTTGAGGGAGGTTCAGGACACACATGCCCCTCTTTGGGGTATACACACAGGTAGATCCACACACTGGGGGTCAAGACACTTTTGGGGGTCACACACAGGTAGATCCACACATTGGGGGTCACACACACAGGTAGATCCACACACTGGGGGTCAGGACACTTTTGGGGGTCACACACAGGTAGATTCACACATTGGGGTCACGCACACGGTAGATCCACACATTGGGGGTCACGCACCGGTAGATCCACACACTGGGGGTCACGCACCGGTAGATCCACACACTGGGGGTCACAGACACATAGATCCACACACTGGGGGTCACAGACACATAGATCCACACACTGGGGGTCACAGACACATAGATCCACACACATGGGGGTCACAGACACAGATCCACACACACTGGGGGTCACAGACACATAGATCCACACACTGGGGGTCACAGACACATAGATCCACACACTGGGGGTCACAGACACAGATCCACACACTGGGGGTCACAGACACATAGATCCACACACTGGGGTTCACAGGTAGATCCACACATTGGGGGTCACACAGGTAGAGCCACACATTGGGGGTCACACAGGTAGAGCCACACATTGGGGGTCACACAGGTAGAGCCACACATTGGGGGTCACACACACACAGGTAGAGCCACACATTGGGGGTCACACACGTAGATCCACACACTGGGGGTCAGGACACTCTTGGGGGTCACACACACATAGATCCACACACTGGGGGTCAGGACACATATGGGGGGGTTGTCCTCACCTGCACCCCGTTGGGGTAGACCTCGCCCTCACCGATGGAGTCCACCAGCTCCTCCTCGTCCAGCGTGGCCCTCTTGTAGGACGACATCTGAAAGGTGAAATGTACAACAGAGTCTCTTAGAGTTTCCATTGAATGACATCCGCCGAGCCTCCAGCTATCAGCCCAGGAAGTCTGGAGGGGGGGGGGTGGGGGGGTCTCCCAGCCTCCCTTATAAGAGGCCTCACCGCACTCCCCTACCAGCCATAACCCCCAGGGCCCAGGGCCACAGACCCCAATCACAGCAGAGCACAGGGGGGCCAGCCACAGGTCATTGCATGTTAATCGGGGGAAGAAAGTCCCAACCGGCCTCCCCAGACCTCACCGTCCCCTGGAGCTCCCCAGCCTCATGTCTGATAGGTTTTGTAGTTTTATCTCAGCACCTCCCCCTTCCTCCCATTCTTCACAGGGGGAGGGGCATCACATTAACCCTGCGTGTGCTGGGGGAGGGGAGGGAGGACAGCTCCGCCCCCCCTGGGAAGAGGAAGAATAATATTTACCAACTTTCTCTTCCTCCGCCAAACCGATACAAACACTTCCCGAACAGAAGGCATTCCCGACTCCCGGATTGTACAACCGACCACAACCGACCACACACACCAATGTCACCTGATGGGGGGAAACCTTCCCGACTCCCGGATTGTACAACCGACCACACACACCAATGTCACCTGATGGGGGGAAACCTTCCCGACTCCCGGATTGTACAACCGACCCACACACCCACAACACAATGTCACCTGATGGGGGGAAACCTTCCCGACTCCCGGATTGTACAACCGACCACACACACACACACCCAATGTCACCTGATGGGGGGAAACCTTCCCGACTCCCGGATTGTACAACCGACCACACACACACACACCAATGTCACCTGATGGGGGGGGGAACAACCTTCCCTGACTTCCCGGATTGTACAACCGACCACACACACACAATGTCACCTGACCACTCCCGGATGTCACCGACCACACACACAAATGGGGGGGGAAACCTTCCCGACTCCCGGATTGTACAACCGACCACACACACCAATGTCACCTGATGGGGGGAAACCTTCCCGACTCCCGGATTGTACAACCGACCACACACACACCAATGTCACCTGATGGGGGGAAACCTTCCCGACTCCCGGATTGTACAACCGACCACACACACACCAATGTCACACCAATGTCACCTGATGGGGGGGAACCTTCCCGACTCCCGGATTGTACAACCGACCACACACACCAATGTCACCTGATGGGGGGAAACCTTCCCGACTCCCGGATTGTACAACCGACCCCACACACACCAATGTCACCTGATGGGGGGAAACCTTCCCGACTCCCGGATTGTACAACCGACCACACACACCAATGTCACCTGATGGGGGGAAACCTTCCCGACTCCCGGATTGTACAACCGACCACACACACACAATGTCACCTGATGGGGGGAAACCTTCCCGACTCCCGGATTGTACAACCGACCACACACACACCAATGTCACCTGATGGGGGGAAACCTTCCCGACTCCCGGATTGTACAACCGACCACACACACACCAATGTCACCTGATGGGGGGGGAAACCTTCCCGACTCCCGGATTGTACAACCGACCACACACACCAATGTCACCTGATGGGGGGAAACCTTCCCGACTCCCGGATTGTACAACCGACCACACACACCAATGTCACCTGATGGGGGGAAACCTTCCCGACTCCCGGATTGTACAACCGACCACACACACACCAATGTCACCTGATGGGGGGAAACCTTCCCGACTCCCGGATTGTACAACCGACCACACACACCAATGTCACCTGATGGGGGGAAACCTTCCCGACTCCCGGATTGTACAACCGACCCCACACACCAATGTCCACACACACACCAATGTCACCTGATGGGGGGAAACCTTCCCGACTCCCGGATTGTACAACCGACCACACACACACCAATGTCACCTGATGGGGGGAAACCCCGGATTCCCGACTCCCGGATTGTACAACGGACCACACACACCAATGTCACCTGCCCGGTGGCTATAGAGGGATAGATTTCGGTTTTTGTGTCGGGAGTTCGGCTTTAATTCCCGTCTTGTACACGATCTGGTTTGCCCGGGAAGGGGGCGGCGGCCTCTCTCGGCCAGCTCCGGCCCAGCGGGTGATGGGGGATTAGACGAGAAGTAATTAGCGCGGCTCTCCACCAACTAATCCATTCACATGAATGAACTGCCGATCGCCGGCTTTCCAACCACCCAGAAATCCCACAACTGTTACCGCCCAATATGGGGGCGCTGCACCCCGCTGGTCCCACCACCTGCCAGGCCACCATCCATCAGATCTCGTGTGTGTGGGGAGATCGTTCTGGAAGCTCAACTTGCCTGTAAACGGTTGTTTCCAAATACACAAAAACGTCAGACCGGGGGGGGGGGGGTCATCAACCTCCACACAGGGATGGGGGTCATCAACCTCCACACAGGGATGGGGAGTCCCACCAACCTCCACACCAATCCCTCCAATGGGACCACATAGGGATGGGGAGTCCCACCAACCTCCACACCAATCCCTCCAATGGGACCACACAGGGATGGGGAGTCCCACCAACCTCCACACCAATCCCTCCAATGGGACCACACAGGGATGGGGAGTCCCACCAACCTCCACACCAATCCCTCCAATGGGACCACACAGGGATGGGGAGTCCCACCAACCTCCACACCAATCCCTCCAATGGGACCACACAGGGATGGGGAGTCCCACCAACCTCCACACCAATCCCTCCAATGGGACCACACACAGGGATGGGGAGTCCCACCAACCTCCACACCAATCCCTCCAATGGACCACACAGGGATGGGGAGTCCAACACCAAATCCTCCAACCCTCCCTCCAATGGGACCACACAGGGAGGGAGTCCCACCAACCTCCACACCAATCCCTCCAATGGGAACCACACAATCCCACCAACCTCTCCACACCAATCCCTCCAATGGGACCACACAGGGATGGGGAGTCCCACCAACCTCCACACCAATCCCTCCAATGGGACCACACAGGGATGGGGAGTCCCACCAACCTCCACCAATCCCTCCAATGGGACCACACAGGGATGGGGAGTCCCACCAACCCTCCACGGGGACCACACAGGGATGGGGAGTCCCACCAACCTCCCTCCAATGGGACACACAATCCCTCCAACCAATCCCTCCAATGGGACCACACAGGGATGGGGAGTCCCACCAACCTCCACACCAATCCCTCCAATGGGACCACACAGGGATGGGGAGTCCCACCAACCTCCACACCAATCCCTCCAATGAGACCACACAGGGATGGGGGAGTCCCACCAACCTCCACACCAATCCCTCCAATGGGACCACACAGGGATGGGGAGTCCCACCAACCTCCACACCAATCCCTCCAATGGGACCACACAGGGCATGGGAGTCCCACCAACCTCCACACCAATCCCTCCAATGGGACCACACAGGGATGGGGAGTCCCACCAACCTCCACACCAATCCCTCCAATGGGACCACACAGGGATGGGGAGTCCCACCAACCTCCACACCAATCCCTCCAATGGGACCACACAGGGAAGGGGAGTCCCACCAACCTCCACACCAATCCCTCCAATGGGACCACACAGGGATGGGGAGTCCCACCAACCTCCGCACCAGTCCACACCATCCCTCCAATGGGACCACACAGGGAAGGGGGGAGTCCCACCAACCTCCACACCAATCCCTCCAATGGGACCACACAGGGAAGGGGAGTCCCACCAACCTCTGCACCAAGAGCCAATCCAACTCCAATGGGACCACACAGGGAAGGGCAGTCCCACCAACCTCCACACCAATCCCTTCAATGGGACCACACAGGGAAGGGGAGTCCCCAACTCTGCACTAGTCCCTCCAATGGAAAGGGGAGTCCTACCGACCTCTGCACCAAGAGTTCAACCGACCCACCTCCCTCCAATGGGACTACACAGGGCAGGGGAGTCCCCACTGGCCTCTGTAACAAGAGTCTGACCGACCAACCTCCACACCAGTCCCTCCAATGGGACCACACAGGGCAGGGGAGTCTGACCAATCTGCAACAAGAGTCTGACCAACCAACCTCCACACCAGTCCCTCCAATGGGACCACATGGGACGGGGGGAGTCTGACCAATCTGCACCAAGAGTCCCCCCTTAGAGTTCACCTCCAGCCAGACATTGGTTTTCTATTGAGGGGTTAGCACCTCTGGGTTTTGCCACATTGTCCCCAGTGGACATTTCCCTTCCTTCCTGTCCTTGTTGTCACACAATGAAGAGGCGGGAGATCTGGAAAGGTTTGAGGTTTTGTAGTGTGGGGGAAGGGGGGGATCCTCTGCCAGGACTTTGCTCCCGGGGTCCCTATTGGACAGATGTTTGGGTCGCTGAAGATCTCATTCCCTCGGGGGTCAGCACAGGTCAGATCTTACAGGAGAGACCACACACAGACAGATCTGAGCATCGCCCGATACGGACCAGACTGAGTGTTGTCTATAGGATGCAGAACATTTCCCATAATCCCTCACTTCCCTGACACAGATGGCAGATTGGCCCTTCCTCCATCCGGGGTCCCCCCATAATGCCGGCCCGGCTTATCCCATGATGGAATTTACTACTTACGGTAATTATAGACCCAGAACCAATCAGGGTAATGGATGGCTGGGGGGGGGGGCATCTGACCGCCAGGAAGGGGAGAATATCCACCTGACATGTCAGGGGCCCGAGAGAAGACTGGGGCCCCCACAGATACAATATAGGAGGTGGAGGAGGAGTTGGTTACATAGCTGACAATATAGAACGACCGCCGGATCCCGGGTCACTTGTAGAGCGGGTCTATATCTAGGCTGGATTGTCCAATGGTGGGGGGCAGAGGCCCTGCACTTCCCCCCCTCCCCCATCCCCAGGAGGCCCTGCACCTCCCCCCCCCCCATCCCCAGGAGGCCCTGCACCTCCCCCCCCCCCATCCCCATCCCCAGGGGGCCCTGCACCCCCCATCCCCAGTGGGCCCTGCACCCCCAATCCCCAGGGGGCAGAGGCCCTGCACCCCCAATCCCCAGGGGGCAGAGGCCCTGCACCCCCAATCCCCAGGGGGCAGAGGCCCTGCACCCCCCATCCCCAGGGGGCCCTGCACCCCCCATCCCCAGGGGGCCCTGCACCCCCCATCCCCAGGGGGCCCTGCCCCCCAATCCCCAGGGGCAGAGGCCCTGCACCCCCCATCCCCAGGGGGCCCTGCACCCCCAATCCCCAGGGGGCAGAGGCCCTGCACCCCCCATCCCCAGGGGGCCCTGCACCCCCAATCCCCAGGGGGCAGAGGCCCTGCACCCCCAATCCCCAGGAGGCTCTGCACCCCCAATCCCCAGGAGGCTCTGCACCCCAACTCTGGCACATAGGCCCACAGGAAAGAGCTGTGGCGTAGGGCCCCAGAGGAAACACAAAGTGCACCTAATGACTGCCAGTATTGGGACAAGATACATGACTATGGATTGGGGGGGGGGGTATATAAAGTCCATGACCCCCCCACATGGTGTTCTCAACCTCAACACCACCATGGCCAAGAACACGTCTATAGATGGCATCTGGGAGGAAGACGTGACATCACCGTGCTGCCGGCCACCATATCCTGTATAGAGCCGCCCAACTGCCACTTCTTGTCATCCCGTATATTATTCTCCCCGTCTCCTGGTGTCAGTGGATGGTGTCACCTCCTGTATGTAGTCTGATCTCCCCGGCTCCTAGTGTCAGTGGATGGTGTCACCTCCTGTATGTAGTCTGATCTCCCCGGCTCCTGGTGTCTGTGGATGGTGTCACCTCCTGTATGTAGTCTGATCTCCCCGGCTCCTGGTGTCGGTGGATGGTGTCACCTCCTGTATGTCGTCTGATCTCCCCGGCTCCTGGTGTCACCTCCTGTATGTAGTCTGATCTCCCCGGCTCCTGGTGTCACCTCCTGTATGTAGTCTGTACTCCCCGGCTCCTGGTGTCGGTGGATGGTGTCACCTCCTGTATGGTGTCACCTCCTGTATGTAGTCTGATCTCCCCCGGCTCCTGGTATCACCTCCTGTATGGTGTCACCTCCTGTATGTAGTCTGATCTCCCCGGCTCCTGGTGTCACCTCCTGTATGTAGTCTGATCTCCCCGGCTCCTGGTGTTGGTGGATGGTGTCACCTCCTGTATGTAGTCTGATCTCCCTGGCTCCTGGTGTCACCTCCTGTATGTAGTCTGATCTCCCCGGCTCCTGTGTCTGGTGTTTCTCGGTGGATGTGTCACCTCCTGTATGTAGTCTGATCTCCCTGGCTCCTGGTGTCTGTGGATGGTGTCACCTCCTGTATGTAGTCTGATCTCCCCGGCTCCTGGTGTCACCTCCTGTATGTAGTCTGATCTCCCCGCTCCTGGTGTCGGTGTATATTTTCTCGGTGGATGGTGTCACCTCCTGTATGTAGTCTGATCTCCCTGGCTCCTGGTGTCGGTGGATGGTGTCACCTCCTGTATGTAGTCTGATCTCCCCGGCTCCTGGTGTCACCTCCTGTATGTAGTCTGATCTCCCCGGCTCCTGGTGTCTGTGTGATGGTGTCACCTCCTGTATGTCGTCTGATCTCCCCCCGGCTCCTGGTGTCTGTGGATGGTGTCACCTCCTGTATGTAGTCTGATCCCCGGCTCCTGGTGTCGGTGGATGGTGTCACCTCCTGTATGTAGTCTGATCTCCCCGGCTCCTGGTGTCACCTCCTGTATGTAGTCTGATCTCCCCGGCTCCTGGTGTCACCTCCTGTATGTAGTCTGATCTCCCCGACTCCTGTGTCACCTCCTGTATGTAGTCTGATCTCCCCGGCTCCTGGTGTCAGCTCCTGTATGTAGTCTGATCTCCCCGGCTCCTGGTGTCGGTGGATGGTGTCACCTCCTGTATGTAGTCTGATCTCCCCGGCTCCTGGTGTCACCTCCTGTATGTAGTCTGATCTCCCCGGCTCCTGGTGTCACCTCCTGTATGTAGTCT